CGTGACCAAACGGGCGGGTTCAGCCCCAGACCGGGCCGGCCGCGGGGCTGGGGCAGTGGCACCCCCTGACTTGTGTGGGGATGGGAAGGAGCCTCCAGCTGTTCTCCCTTTGAAGGCAAACCAGCTGGTCCAATAAATCCCCTTCGTAAAGAAGGCAACCCCGATATCTCAGTGGCACTGCCCCATCGGGCTCACGGGCAGGGGCAGGGGCTCTGCGGGGACAGGGGCCGGTCCCAGCCGGGACCCCCGCGGCCCCTCGGCGGTTCCCTCGGCGGTGACCGCCCGGTGCTCCTCGGGGGGTGTCTGTGCCGTACAGCCGGACACTGCGGGACAAGGGCAATTCCTGTCCGTTCGTACGGGCACAGGTTACATCAGTCACGCTTACACGGCACTGAAACTGCAGGAATCGGGCGCGTCCCAGCCCGCGGGGTGACACGGGCACATCCAGCCGTCACCAATCTGTGCTCCGAAGGGTCCTGGCTCTCCCCCGTGACCGCAGGGAACTCCTCCTAAACTTAGAGTCCAGCTTTAGATGGCAAAGTGGCCTAAAATAGAAACCACGCCATGCCCTGTGTCATGTGGCTGATCAGGGATGGGCTGGAAGGAGGTCCCGGCTCCCAATCCCCGATCCTCGCGGAGCCCGGACAGCCGGGGTTGTGCCTCCCCGCTGCCCCACTGTGTGTGCTGGCCCGTGACCCCACGGGGGGAGCGGGGAGGGGGCTGCACACCTCGAGGGATCCCTCAGCCCTGCCCCGGCCCCGTGTGCCTGTCCCACGGGCAGGAGGGCTCTGTTCCCTTCACACTCGGTCGGGTGTTACCGATTCGCACTGTAAATGTCACAACGGGCTGTCTGGAACTTGCCATCTCTCCTGTTCTGTCGAATTAGTAATTTTTATATGAAATATTCGTTATTTCTCGAACATCACTGCACCACTCAGGCCTCGGGACCGGAGCCCCGGCTGTGCGGAACAACCCGCCAGGACCAGCCCCCAGCGATGGTGTCGATCCAAGCTTTGCTCCGACTGCTCTGGGGAGGATAACGCTTGGCAACTGAAACATGATTCCCTTGCAGAGGCATCTGTTTATCTCCCCTCCTGTGCCAGCCCTCCTCAGAGCAGTCCTGGCACGATGCCAAGTGACTCAGTGGGCTTCGAATGTGTCATCGAGCTGTTTTGAGTCACTATTCCTCTTTTTGGGGTGTTTTTTGTTACCTTACCAACTGCGTATTCTCTATTTGATTTCCTGAAGCACCGTGAACTACTGGGGCCTCTGCCCAAAAATATTGGGGATATTAATTCCTCATGTATAACCGAGTTAGATAATTATATGTAGACACGTTATTCGTACAAATCTATCTGGCAAAAAAAAAAGTGCATCTGCTCAACGTGTCAGAGACCTTTAACACTTCATGACAGCAAAAGTTAAATTTGAAATCTTAACAAAATCACGACTTTCTGATCCCAGTGTGCAGGGAAACTGCCAGCCTGTCTGCCCAGATAAGGCAAAGCATTAAAATCAGCACGATGGCTGCTGGCTGTGCTGAAAATCCCTCTTTCAAGGTTTGATCCAGAGCCATCTGAAGTTACAGGGCAAGCAGGTTTCGGATCAGATGTGAAAGGGAGATCTTCTCCAGAAAAAAAAAAGCTTTTGGAAAGGAGCTTTTATTGAAAGGATCCTTCTCCAGTGTGATTCATGGACAGGAGGAAGCTGCTCAGCACTGGATGTAGTGCTGGGGGAGATCAGATGTCACCAGCCCAGGCCTGGGACGAGTGCCCTGGTTCTGTGGCAGCTACACAGGGATCACCTCCCGACTCCGGCTCTGCAGGAAGGCTGCTCCCCCCTCCCAGAGTGATAAGGCACAAAAGCAGCTTTTCTGTTTCAAGCAGCACAAAAAGCACCCAGAAGAGGAGTGAAACACTGGAGTGACCCCGGGAACGTGCTACTGGAGGTCGCACTGATGTATTTTCCTGGCCAGGCTGCCCCAAGCGCTGCAGTCCAGCATCCCACGTCCTGAACAGCACTGAGGCTTCCACAGCTCCTGCCTTTGCTCAAATTCCACCCCAAAGTCCCAAATGAGAGCGTGGGGTTGGAAGGAGTCTCTGCTTTGCTTCTGTGCAGTCACAAAGAGCTGTTTTCCTACTCACGCAGGAGCCTTGGTGCTTTCCAGGCCGAGTGACCTTCCTTGCCACACACAGACCAGGGGAGGCTCAGCTGCTGTCCCCTCTGCTGCTCCAGAGGACATCAGAGTGTGCTCTCCTCACACGCTGGTCTGAGGGTGCAGGGAACCCTGAAGGACCATCACGTCAGAGTGAAGGGAATAGAATAGAGTAAAATAGAATAAAATGAAAGAGTTATGAAATGGCCTGAGGAAAATGTCAGTGTAATCTAAAAAAAAAAAGAACCATAGTACTAAATTGCAAAGTTGTAGAAATTGGCTATTAAGTGTTCAAAGCAGCTGAAATGCAATTACAGTAATAGCAATGAATCAGGAGAGCCCTGGGCTTTGCAATATTTCAACCCAGCTCTGCTTTTTCCTTTTTTCCATTTTATCTTAATGATATACATTAGCTTATCAAGGACTAATGGAAGCTACAAACCTTGGAATCATAGAGTGACAGAATCATTTAGGTTGGAAAAGACCTCCAAGTTTGACTGATCACCACCTTGTCAACTAGACCGTGGCATTAAGTGCACATCCTGTTGTTTCTTGGACACCTCCAGGGATGGGGACTCCACCCCTGCCCTGGGCAGCTGTGTCAGGGCTGGACAGCCCTTTCCAGGAAGAAATGTTCCCTGATGTCCAACCTGACCCTCCCCTGGCACA